CTTACAATCGACCCCAAAAGCTTTAAACGAGTTGGGCATTCCTTCCTGTTAGAGAATATTATATTATAGGATATTAGGATTCTAGTATGATTCGGTTACCTAGATTAGTTAGGATTTAGTTACCTAGTCAAACTCTATTACCTTGCATTATTTCTCTATATATATTACATGTAATCAACCCATAACATAATGGAGGTTTCTATTATATCATGTATTATTATTTCTCTCCAATTCTATTCTTTCTATATGGTATCAGAGCACCAGGTTTTTTAACCTAGCCGCCTTTCTTCTCCATGGCGGTGACCACCCGATTTTCTCCCTCCCCCGGTGGTGGTATTCTAATATTTTTTCTTTAATTTTTTTTTCTCTATCTTTTTCAATCAACACCACCCGATTTCTCCTCCTCTCCCGGTGGTGCATCTTTTCTATCTTTTTCTATCTTCTTCTTCTTCTTCTCCATGGCCTAAAACCTAGCCGCCGCTTCTCTTCTTCTCAATGGCCGGCGACTACCAAACCGAATTTTCTCCCTCTCTCGGTGGTGAATCTTCTCTATCTTTTTCTTCTTCTTCTTCTCCATGGCCTAAAATCTAGCTGCTGCCTCTCTTCTTCTCCATGGCCGGCGACCCCTCTCATATCTTCCCCCCCTCTCTCTCTCGATTCATACATCAAAAAAAAGAAAAAAATTATCTCCATTATTTTTTTTTTTTTTTTAAATTGGACATATATTTCCACAGAGAAATTCTCTAGCGTTGTGTTTCGTTGTTTCTGTCCAGTCTTCACGTTCGTCATTTATTCGTTCTGACTGCGGGAGGGTGCTAGCAAGTGATTGTCCAGTCTTCACGTTCGTCACGTTTCGACTGCGGGGCGTGTTAGAGAATATTATATTATAGGATATTAGGATTCTAGTATGATTCGGTTACCTAGATTAGTTAGGATTTAGTTACCTAGTCAAACTCTATTACCTTACATTATTTCTCTATATATATTACATGTAATCAACCCATAACATAATGGAGGTTTCTATTATATCATGTATTATTATTTCTCTCCAATTCTATTCTTTCTATAAACACACCAAATCTTTGTACGAATTAGAGACACATCCAAAGCAAGTAAAAAAACCAACATGAAACAATAAATACCCAGCCACGTCAGCGGGACGATTTCTAACCGGTTAATTATCCACAACCAAGATCCCATCTAGTCAGCTTCCCAATTAGTAACGCTTGTCATCAATTCTTTTTGCCGCCGACAAAAAAAAAATTCACATCTGCATATTTGCACCACCACCATTCTGAGGATGAGTCAACTCACCTCCCGATTTCAAGATTCCACTATATCCATTTCCTCCAAAACCCATCGGTCCATGTGCAGCACCATTTACAAAAGTAGGATACATAGGGGCAACACCTCCGCTGTAAGGGAAGAAACCCCCCCTAAAACCAACCATTGCAGGGGGCCAAGGCCCCCTCGGAGCAATCGGCGCAGACCCATAACCAATTGGGCCGTAACCTCCAAAAGGGTACCCCCCACCCCCACCGTAAATTCCAGCTCCATATGAATAATTTACAACATTGCCATACGTGGTGGGGTAGTACCCTACACTTGGTAAATAGCTTCCTTGGTTATAAGAGTTGTTTATGTTATGACCTCTTCCATTATTACTATTGCCACTACCCATAGCACTGTCTTTTGGTACAGCTCGTTTGACCTCCACGAGTTTCCCGGTCAACTCGTGAAATTTCTTGCGCATAACTTCCTCGACAGATTCCTCAGAGTCGAATGTAATAAAACCAAACCCTCTTGGCCTATGGGTCATGTTATCGTGCATGACAACCACATCGGTTATTCTGCCGAATTTTCCAAAGTAAGTCCTGAATTCGTCGTCGGTCAAATTAGCTGATAAACCACCTACGAATATCTTCTTTGTCCTAAAAGTTTCGCTGCTACTATTGTTACTCCTAGTGTTGTTCATAATCAATCCCCGTTGTTGATTTTGCTGCTCGTTCCTCGGAATAGCCCTTTTCACTTCCACCGTTCTACTAAGAATGATATGGGGATTTTGAAGGGCACGATCAACGGCAGAAGATTCAGAGAAGGTAACAAACGCAAATCCCCTAGGTTTACCGGTATGCCGATCCACAGCAATCACAGAGCCCAAAACGACGCCGTATTCAGCGAAATGCTCTTTCAGAATATCGTCAGTCGTTTCCCATGAAATACCCCCAACGAACAGCTTGTTCGGCTCGGCCTCCTCCATACCTATTTTTCCTCAAGCACACTCCTTAACGATTAATTATCCAAATATTGAATTATTTCAACGAATCGGGTCTGTACGAATACCTTCAGGATTGCAACCAAATTATCGAGGAGGAACGACTCGAGAGAGTGAAATGAGGGTCTTTACGAATATTTTTTTCTCGAAATGCTGAGAGAGAAAGAGAGTGCAACTTTTTTTTCTGTTTTTTTTCTTTGTCCGGATGCATGTTTTTAACAGAAAACATAACACGTTTAATGTTTTTTGACAGTTATTAACATTGACTGGGTTACGAAAGAATACAAACACACTATCACAATTTATAGTTAATCGCATTTTGGATTGGAACCCATAGCCCAGAGGGTTTAACTGTTACTTGCCCCTAAGATAAATTAGTTTCTGAGGGATCTATTATCCAACAATCCGAAATAAATATTTAGGCCCCGTTTGATAGAATTAAGCACTGAACACTTAATGCTGAATAAAGATCTGAATGACTAACAACAATGTCTGAATACTGAATGCTGAATATTTAAGTTCGTTTGGTAACTAGAAGCCTATTATATCTGAATAGTATAATTTTACTTTACTAGCCCTATGGTAGAAATTGGAACGCAATTTTTTATTTCCGTTAATTTCGATCCTAGTTTTTCGATTTTAGAACAATATTTTTTCATTCAAAATTCGGAAAATCAGATTTTGAATTTTCTCGAATTTTTTCGATCGGAATTGGAATGTATATGAGATGCCGATTTCCGATCCTATTTCAATTTCCGAAAACAATTATGAAAATTCTGAGTTTTTTCGAAAATTACACTAATAACATCAATAAAATTATACATTTTATATATAAGTGACTGAAGAATCGTAATTTTCGATTTTCGCAGAGTTCGATTAGAAAATTTCCAATTTTAGAATGAGTTTTTTCATTCCAATTTTTGAAATCCCGATATTTTACCTTTTCAGATATTTTTGGAATAAAATTGAAATGAATCCTTCCAAAAAATTGAAATTTTCTGAAGGTGCTTATTTCGTTCCGATTCATCCAATTTTCAATCCTCCTAAGTAATCTCAATGTTGTTGAACAATTAAATATATTTACCAATTAACTATCAATCATATCTGAATAAATATATTTATGTTTAACTATGACCTTTATAATAATTTAATAATATAATTTTGATTACAATAATATGCTAGTGGAATTTGTATGGAGAATTGTACCACCACTACGTATCATTTATTATAGCATTTAACTATTTGAATAAAATAGTCAGAAATAGAAATTTTAATAGGATAAAATTGTCTCAACTCTGTTCAGTTAACATCTGAATGATTAAGTTAGATTTTTCCAACTGAATCGCTAAGCAATAATTGGATCTGTTCAGGTCTCCTTACCAAATGCACTGAACAATGACCCATCTGACCGAATAAGAGATGGGTGCTATTAAGAGGCCATTAAGAGATCATTAAGTGCAATCAAACAAGACCTTAGTCGGTAACGCCCAATATATAATTCGGAAATCAATTAATCAAGTCACCCAACTTAATGAAAAATATCTAGGTTTATCACAATTCTATAGTGGGGGAGTGGGCATTTGTTGGAATTTTAAATTGAACCCTTCACTTATAAATTGCATGTTACCCAACCAGTTGTAGAAATAAATCAATAATATCTTATGCCCAAAAAAGGAAAGAAACAAAAACAATAATGGATGAGTTGTATGTAGAAGCAACTTTTTTAGTCTCAATTCTTTTGATGTCCATTTTTTGGTACATCAAATCCTCACTAGCATCAAGAGAAAGAAGATTCAGAGTATTCAATTAGCCATACACAAATCAAGGCCATATTTATGGTAATTAACTATACCTTTAGTTACATTTGCTGTTAAATTTGATTTATTAAATTGATGAGTTTAGTGAATTTTTTAGGGCTTAATCCCTTCAAAATTATAAAAAAAAAAAAATGAAATTCACACACCTATCTAATTTGAAATTGAAATACACATAATGGACGGCGTTTTCTCAATAGAAAATTTAATGTTTTTATAGACATGTAATGTGAATTCCAATTTTACCCTTCATTCTAAAGAAGTTTCTATAATCCACCGATTTGGAACTCTGCACCCTCAAAACACAATAAATCATTCACAATACACCTTGAATTGAATAATAAAGGCAATTTCATTTTTCATTGGTTTTTTTTTCGGGTGCAAAAAAAGAAAAAAAAGAATTGTTATTTTCTTGAACCCCCAACCTAATTTCGAACTGACAAAGTGCAAAAAAAACTATATTTTCTTACAAATATATTTTCTTACAAAAAAAAAATAAAATAAACTTTTATCACTAAATTATTCGATTGATGGATCCTTTATTGTAACTGATTGAAAAATATTAGGTAAAAATATTTGAAAGAAAATATGATTTTCAAATAACTGTATGTTGATGAAATTTATTTTTATTTTTGCACTTTATAGTTTCAAAATGATTGATAAATAAAACAAAATATTTGACATTTGCCATCCTAAAAAAATATCACTAAAAATATTAAATTACATTTTTTAGCTTTAAATATTTATTTGGGGTGCATTATGTATGATTTATTGTGTTTCGATGGTGCAAAGAGCTATGAATTTGTTTCGAGGGTAAAAAGTGCCGAAATAGTATATTTCAATGGTGCAAAGTAGAATTAAGCCATTTATTTAGCGCACAACCCCCCTGAATATTAAGTTGTTACTATTTTGCCAACACGGTGAGTATTTTTTTTAATAATTAGAGAAAACACAGGGTGCTGAATGCAATTAACCCTTGACTAAAAAATTCTTAAGATTGTTTTTTTCATCAAATTATAGGATATCTTGGCAGGCGGGACCGACACTACCAGTACGACAATCGAATGGGCAATGGCCGAGCTAATGAACAATCCAGATGTAATGATGAAAGCGCAAAAAGAATTATCCGATGTCGTTGGATTAAACACCATGATTGAAGAGTCCCACACGCCAAAATTGAAATACGTGGAAGCAGTTGTGAAAGAAACATTGCGTTTACATCCGGCGGTACCTCTACTTGTTCCAAGGTCTCCAGCACAATCTTCGACTGTCGGGGGATACACTATCCCGGAAAATTCAAAGATATTTATAAATGTATGGTCGATTCAAAGAGATCCTTCGATTTGGGATAATCCATTGGAATTTAGGCCGGAGAGATTCCTTGATGATGATGATGAGAATAACGAGAGATGCGATTTTAAAGGTAACTATTTTCATTATCTTCCGTTTGGATCCGGAAGAAGGGTGTGTGCCGGTGTTCCGCTTGCGGAGAGAATGTTGACTTATTTGCTGGCTTCGCTTTTGCATTCTTTCGACTGGAAATTACCGCTAGGGGAAAAAATTGATATGTCGGAGACATTTGTGATAGCGTTGAGGAGAACTAAACCATTGTTTGGTATTCCTAGTCCGAGGCTAGTTAATTCAAACTTATACATGTAATTCCATGTAGTGGCGGAAACAAGATTTTATGTTTCTCATGATTTTGTGTTTAGATTTCAATAATTTTCATAAGAAAAATAAATTGAGTGGGAGGCTTATTCAACTCTTGCAAACATCTGTATAGTTGTGATTCTTTTACCATAAACACTGTTAAAAGTACTTTTACCATAAACATTGTTAAAAGATGTAATAATAATTATTAAGGCTCTAGAAAAAATATGTCATGTAGTGTTGGACGTAAAAAAATGTAATGCATGAATTTTGAGAATTAGATCTATCTGAAGCATTTAAAATCGAAAATTTTTGGATTGAAGATGAAATTATAAAATTTCAGAAATTTAAAAAGTTTATAAATATTAGGGTTAAATACAACTTGCGCTCCTGTACTATATCACCAGTGTCGCGTATACTCCATGTACTACAAAATGCGACAAAGTGGCCCCTCATATTACCAGTCAATTCTCACATCTTTAACACCGTTAGTTTCTATAGCAAAGTTTTTTTTTACCCTTACCCATTTTCTAACTTTATAACTTGGCCAATTTTTTGAACGCGTAGAACATAACTTCCCCTTTCGTCTTCTCCACTACGATTGAACATACCATAGACATTTTTGAAGCAATTTGAAGAGAAGTTGGAATAGATAAATGTAAGTTCTCAAATTATCGCTTATTTTTTGGTTCAACCACAGCTTACGCTTTTCGATTAAGTAGTCATTAAAGGATATTGAATTAACATAACAATAATTGATTTTTTTTGTCAAGCGTGAGGGCTGCGGATTTAGTTGGTGTATATCAACCCTCGGAAAACGGAAAATCTCAGAGGATTAATAATGAAGATCGCCTTATAACTTCTACAAGACTCGAGGCCGAAGAAGCTAGAGGTGTATTGTACTGTGACATTGGTACCGATGAAATTGATAAGAAAAATCGAGTTAGTGCCGCAGTTGAAAAGCCTTGAAAAAGGGTTTGATTTTTATCGAACCTTGTGTTTCGTAAATTTTAATAATAATAATAATGTAGTATGCAGCATACTATGTTTCTGTAGATGAGAAAACATTATATTCTTGTTTTGGAGCCACAATGTATATACATATATTTGTATTTCTCAGCTATTATTATTAATTTTTTTTATATAAGTTGTTAATTCATTCCAGAATCAACGTTTAGCTTAATTTTATTAAAAATTTACAGTTCAGGAGAGGAGCAAAAGATAAAATCAATTTAGCTTTAACAGAGAGAAAAAAAAAAGAATTTAGTCCCACATCGGAAGTTTACTAGTTTTGATAACTATTTATTAACAAAAAAAGGCATTGTTGTTCGTCTAGCTCAGTCGCGTGAGCTTGTACCCAAGTGGAGGCAATAATGTGATTGGACATTGGGCTAGCTTGTTTATCTGGGTCATAGTTGGAGGTTCACAGGCCTGCCCGGTCCAAGTGGGGAGTTGGGTCATGTGGCTCGGGCGGAGGCTCGGACCGCTTGGCTCCTAGAGTGGAGGGCAACGCGCTAGGCTGGCTTCACAGAGCAGCGAAAACTTCCCTGTCTCTACAGTGGAAGGATTACAGGCTGGTTGCATTCTTGTCCCACTAAAAGCTAAATGGGCTAGCCCAAATTGGACAATCACTTTTTTTGAAAAACAGAGCAACGAAAACTTCCTGCCGGTCTATACAGTGGAACGATTACAGGCTGCTTGCTTTCTTGTCCCACTAAAAGCTAAATGGGCTAGCCCAAATTGGACAATTACTTTTTTTAAAAAAAAAACTTCCCAATCTCTATAGTGGAAGGATTACAGGCTGGTTGCTTTTTTGGCCCACTAAAAGCTAAATGGCCTAGCCCAAATTGGACAATCACTTTTTTTGAAAAACAGAGCAACGAAAACTTCCTGCCGGTCTATACAGTGGAACGATTACAGGCTGCTTGCTTTCTTGTCCCACTAAAAGCTAAATGGGCTAGCCCAAATTGGACAATTATTTTTTTAAAAAAAAAAACTTCCCAATCTCTATAGTGGAAGGATTACAGGCTGGTTGCTTTTTTGGCCCACTAAAAGCTAAATGGCCTAGCCCAAATTGGACAATCACTTTTTTTTTTAACTATATTTTCCTCTAGTTTATTTAAATAGAGGAAATGTCCAATATACGATGATTTAGTGGTTAGTTTTTTTTATAACTCGAATTTTGCTTGTGTCTTGCACAGATGGATTTAAAAAAAATGAAAAAGAGAAATAAATGTAAGTTATTAGAAAAATAATATCAACAGTTAATAAAGATCATGTTCAAAACCAAATTATACTAATTCTATAATTGCAATCATAATATAAATATCTATTTTCGAAACAAACTTTAATACACATACCAATATACGTCTATATACCGGGGGAAAAAAGAGAGAATCGACTTACTATTATTTGTGGCGTTGCAATTTTACAATCAACAACAGAACATGCAACATGTTTAGGTACAAGAATCCAAGTATAATTATCATGCAAGAATTTCATTTGTTCATGCACGGTAGATAACTAATTAGTAGATTCTTTAGAGTCTAAAGCTTCTTTATAGGTCTTATGTTTATTTCCATCTAGGTTCTCAAACACATCGAAAACAAATGAAGCAAATTCATCAAGATACTGAAGTTTTCTGGCCCCTCTCCTAACTCTATCCCTAACAAGTTGTTAATCATGTAAGTTATCATTCATATGAGGTAAATTAGGTTAATCATTATGATCATACACATTATCAGATGGCACATAAGGTTCATCTTCACTATCAGATTCATCAGGCTAGTTGCTCCTAGTTGAAGTTGTTGGAATCTCCACCTCATTTGAGGGAGACTCAATAACTACTACATTAGGAGTAGGCAAACAAGAGAATTCAAATTCATTAAATATCACATCTCTACTAATGATAACTTTATAACCTTGTTCCCTTTCAACCAGCATCTAGACTCCTTCACACCCTCAGAGTAACGAAAGAAAACACATTTAGCATATCTAGGATCTAACTTATCGTGTTTCTTATGCACATATGCAGTACAACCAAACACTCGTAAGTGTGACAAACTAACAGGTTTACCACACCACACAGTTTCATGCAAATATCCACTTAATGGGACAAAGGGGATCTATTAATGAAACGAGCAGCAATTAAGAGGGCTCCACCACAAAACAGTTTAAGGAAACCAGAGAAATTCAACATAAATCTAATGAGCTAATAGCACAGATCCCCCTGTGTTATTTCTAATTGGTGAAAAACACCTCGTGTTAAAAATATTAGCAAAAAACCCCCTATATAGTGTTTTGCAAAGCACACCAGCCCCTATTTCGAAATTGAATGTTGACTTCTATGAAATGACTGAACTACCCTTACAAAAGAAATATTAAAAAAAAAAAAACCCTAACAAAACGCTAAAATCAACTGCAACAAAACCCAACCCATGTCTTCTTCTCCAACGCTACGGAAAAATAATGTCCATACCTCATATCTTTCCACAATCAAATCTCGGCTGACGGGGAAGATATACAGTATGAAACCACCTCTTCCACTCTCCGGCGAGCGGTCCAACACTACCGTCGAGATAGATGGGCGGGCGGGGAAAGAATTTCGAGAATTTGGCGGTGGAGGGTCAGGGTGTCTGTGGCGTGGCGAGAAGAGCGGAGGAGGCGGGTGGTAGAAGAAAGGGGTACCGGCGGCGGCGTGAAAAGGGGATTGCCGGAGGTGGTATTGTGAGTTTGGTGGTGGTGGTAATTTCAATGGGGAAGAAGAAGAATTTTAGGGAGGACGTGTTCTTTCTCTCTGTTTGAGGCGGTAGCTTGACGAGGTGATTGCCGGTGGTGGTGGTGGTGGTGGAGGTGGTGGTAGTGTTGGTGGTGTGCAGGTGGTCTCGCACTCTCGCTTCAACAGGGGGAAGAAATTTTGGGGAAGATCAATTTCTCTCTGTTCTTTTACATAAAAATATATGTTATTTTTTTTTATTTAAGAAATTTTAAAAATTGCAGTTTGATCCAAATTTTTGGGTTATTTATATTTAAATCAAATTGGAATTTTTCTTTCTTTTACAAAAAAAATCAGAGGGTATTTTCGAGTTTTCAAGTAAAAATACACATTCCTACTCGCATTATTCGCGCGTGCAATGTACGTTGAGCTGTTAGGGTTTTTTTTGGCTTTGACTTATTTTCATAAGGGGGTATTTGCTAATTTTTTTAACACGATGGGGTTTTTAGCAATTAGAGATTATACAGGGGTAGATTTTGCAAAAAAACCCTAAATCTAATCCTATCAACCAAAGTTCTATTCATCTTCTCAGAAACACCATTTTGTTGAAGGGTGTATGCAATAGTTATATGCTTCTTAATGTCAAAAATGCAGTATACGTATCATCAAAGTCATGATTACAAAACTCACTACCATTATTAGTTCTAAGTGCCTTTATTTTCTCTCTAGTTTGATTTTCAATAAGGGTTTTCCATGCTCTAGAATTTTCAAACACATCAGATTTATGCTTAAGCAAAAAACAAATATCTTTCTAGAATAATCATCAATCACAAAAGGGATTTCAGGGCGAGGGAGTTCAGTGAACTCATCTAGTATGAGCACCCACTCAAGTATGCCGATGTCACAACATCGAGGACTGATGAGACGCAGTACACATACACTAAGTGCTAGTCTTAAAAGGGAAAGGCCGGTATCCTCATTATTGGCGTAACCCATCGACTAGGAACAAGGTTTAACAGTTACATTACATTGATGAGTTATCTCACGATTCTACTAGATCAACTCACAGTAATAGAGTAACTCGTTAGGACTATATCTATGCTGCTTGCATGGGATAAGAGATATAGAATGCCAAATGAAATATTTTATTATTACGAACGAAAAACGATTGTTTTATTACAAGGAAAAAGAGAAAGACCACAGCGACAAGTTGGCTTGTTGGTCACCTACTCTAACAATTAATCCTTAAGACCCAGACACCACCGTGACTTTACTAAAGGACCAACTGTATCATGACCTGTCCCTGAGTTCCACCGAGGACCGCCCCAAGGGCCAGTGTTCGTGCAGTTCGAAATCTAGTGGGAGGTATGTGCATTGTAGTAGGGGATTTGATCGCTTGATCAGTCATGAATATCCTGTGTGTTCTTGCGATTTATAATCCATGAAGTCTGTGGCCACAACTAAAAGTGTAGTGATTAGAGAAATATGTTTCTCTAAGTCAAATACGAACGGATTATATAATCAAGAACGTTTACACAGTTATTGAACTCATAAAGAGGTCTCGATGAACCAATGCCGCTAGTTCAATCGGGATATATGTATCGAAGGGATCGTACTCTACGTTAACTATATCACCATGGTTCTTGCAGGCACTTCATTTGTATTCAGGGAATCATGATGCGTAG